TTGAGTGACTAGTCGAGCTGTTTATAGTTCTTGGCAGTTTCATAACTTCTCAATACCTCAGTCTTACTGTCTGTAAAATGGGAATAGCCACACTGGTTGTTCCTAGGATTAAATGAGATAATCCATGTGAAATCCTTAGAACCAAGTACATGCTGAGTGCTCAGTTAAAGCTGACGACTGTTGCTGTCATGTATAAGAATAGATAAATTCTGTTTATTCATGTCACATGTCTCTAACTAGGTTTCAAGGTTGATTAGTGAAACTAGTGCAGATGATCAAGGGGGAGGAGCTTTGAAGGAGGTGTGAATGGCAATCCCAGGAGGTTTGGATAGGAGTTCAACCTGTGATTCAGTTTTTTGACCACACAGGGAGAATACTTAGGTGTGAGATGTGTGCACATGATTTCCACATGGCAGAAAAATTCAGAAGGAATAAATGTCACTGCTGGGAACTGGCCTACCCCTGTTTATTCAGGAAGCAGAGCTCTGACCAGTCAGAATGAGACGATACATGGTGGAGGGCCTTGTTAGGCATGTGTGCTGAGAGGTTCTCACCCAGCTTGAGTCTTACTTTGGGATGTTCAAGGTATAGAACGGAGCTAGAGGTAGGGCACTGGGGTTGGATTTTAGTTCCTTGTAAAAGCAATAGAAATAGTTATCTAATTTTAGCCGCGCCCCACCACCACCACCACCAGGGCAGTGCAGAATAATGGCAGCAAGTGGGTCTCTCAGGTTTGTTCCTACCAGTTGAATCCATTGTGAATTCAATAAATACATTTTTAGTGAGTAATTAATCTACTATGTAAGCCAATTAAATATAAAATAGTTTCCATGAAAAAGCATTTGAATATTATGGACCATGATAAAAGCATTGCAGAAAAGTTTTTGTTGAAGCATTTCCAGTAAGGTGGAGGAATAGGCAGACAAGCGACACAGACCCTCTTCAACAAGGAAAAGAAAAACCAATTGACAGAGATACAGAAGATAATCCTTGAGCCCTGAGCTTTGAAAGGAACTATACAAAAGTGGATTAGGCACCAACTAGTGGAAAAACCTAAACGAAAACAGTGAGTATAGAGACAGTCAGAGCTGCGGACTGTCAGCTACTCTGACGGGACCAGCAGCCTGAATATTTCCAAGTGGTGTTGGGACCTGAGTATTGACCTAAAGATCAGCCCTGGTCACCCAGGTCTGCAGGGACCACTGCACTGGTGATCTATGAATAGGAAGGGAAACAGCAAGGAGGGAGACAACGTGAGCTGTTGACTTTCTGCTATCCAGAAGGCACAGCCATTTTGATTGTGTACACATGGCAACCATTTTGGATATTTAAAGTGACTGAGGGTGCAGCCATTTTGAAGGTTTACAAGTGAAAACCATTTTGGATTTTAAAGTGATAGCATTCTCATTTGAATTCCAGGGACCTAAGAATAGGCTCTGTTTGCCAAGGTCAGCAGGGACATAGAAGAGACTCACAACAAGAAAGGAGAGAAGTGGTGTATGTACAAGTACTGTCAACTAGTGAATAGAGGAGCACAGCACAGTACCCTGCTTGTGTAGATAAATACAAACAAAGAGAACAAAAATCATGGGGAAGTCACTCCAACATACAATCACCAATTAAATATAAACACAAAAAGTGACAATGCCTCAGAGACAACAGAGCATCACAGTCCACACAAAGAAGCAAGATAAAGCAGGAGAAACAAAGGACCAGGATACAGACCCAAAACACATCTCTGAGGAAGACCCAGCATTGTAACTCCCTGATAAGAAATTCAAAAGAATTAGATTTAGGTATCCTCAAAAGATTGAGAGACAGATCAAGAAAAACACAGACAAAACCCTAGAAGAATCTCAAAAGACAATACAAGAACAAAATGACAAAATAAATGAAAAATTAGAAATGATACAAAATCTACAGATAGAAATCCAGAAGATTAATACTAAATTGTCAGAAATAGATAACACATTGAAAGGGCAAAGGAGTAGAATCGATGCAATGGAAGACATAATTAATGAGATTGAAGACAAATACCTGAATACTTCTTTGGAAAGGGATATCAGAAAAAAGATAAAGACAAAATGAAGAAAGCCTAAAGGTCGTGTGGGATACCATCAAAAAGAATAACCTGCATGTCATTGGAATTCTAGAACAGGAAGAGAAAACTAAAACCATTGAGAAAATTGCCCAAGATTTGTTGGAAGAGAACATCCCTGATACGATGAAAATGGGAATATATCCATTCAGGAAGTCTGACGAACCCCAAACAGGATAGTCCCTAAAGCAAATCACCAAGACATATTATCAAACTCATCAAAACCAATGACAAAGAAAGAATCCTAAAAGCACAGGAAAAATGACAAGTTACCTACAAGGGGCAACCAATAAGTCTAAGCTTGGATTTCTCGGCAGAAATCATGCAGGTGAGAAGACAATGGGATGGTATATATAAAACCCTGAAAGAGAAAAATTTCCAATCAAGAATTATGTACCCAGCAAAATTGCCCCTCAAATATGATGAAATTAGGACATTTCCAGAGAAGCAGAAATTAAGGGAATTTGTTAAAACCAGGTCAGCCTTACAAGAGATGCTAAAGGGAGTCCTTTGGACAGAGAAGCAATAACAGCCAACAACAATGGACCATTAACACACATGATGATATAACCCAGAAACCAACACAGCTATGGAAGTATCCAAAGTGAATAAGCCTACAAGATTGTAAACAGGGAACCAGAGACACCAATTGGCAGATGGGAACAACTACAAACCAAAAAGGGAAAAAAAAAATCTATGTCGTTACAGAACTTCTAGATGGTAGGGAAGTCAAGACAACTACAAGATAGAGCGGACTATTCTAAACTTGAGAAGAAAACTAAATCACAGGGTAACCACAAAGAAAAATGATAAGCCTTCACATCAAAATAAAAAAGAGGACCAGCACAAATATTTAGCAAATACTAAAACAGTAGCAACAAAGGAAGTGGTAACACAATTCATAAACAAAACGAGCTCAGCATAGAAAATTATATGGAACAAAGAAATCAGCACCATGAAAAAGGACGTAACAAAAATGACAGCAACAAATTCATATTTGCTCATAATTACATATCTAGCAAGGGACTTAACTGTTAAGATTTATAGAAAACTCCCAACTCCTCAACACCAAAGTAATTAACAGTCCATTTGAAAAATGGGCAGAAGACATGAATAGACACTTCACCAAGGAGGATATTCAGGTGGCCAGCTAATACATGAAGAGATGCTCATAATCATTTGCCATCAGAGAGATGCAAATCAAAACAACAATGAGATACCATCTCACCCCAGCACTGATGGCAAGGTTCAACGAGACAGAAAATAACAAATGCGGGTGTGGATGCGGAGAGATTGGGACTCTCATACACTGCTGGTGGGACTTTGAAGTGATAGAACCACTGTGGAAAGCAATATGGCAATTCCTTAGAAAGCTAGAATTGGAGATATCATTTGACCCAGCAATCCCATTACTAGGTATATATCCTAGAGAGGTGAAAGCCAGGACAGGAAAGATATACGCACACTCATGTTCATCGCAGCACTATTTACAATAGCAAAAAGATGGAAACAACCTACGTGGCCATCAGCAGAAGAGTGGATGACCAAACTATGGTACATACACATAATGGAATTCTGTGCAGCACTAAAGACTAATGTAGTCTGCAAAACACCACATAATATAGATGAACTTGGAGGACATTATGCTGAGGGAAATAAATCAATCACAGAAGGATAAATATAGTATTAGTTCATTATTATGGAGGGTCAAGGAAAGGTTTCTGTGTGGAGGGAAACTTTCTTTGTTGGTTGCTAGGAGTGAGAGGGGAGGGGAGAAAACACTGCAAAAAAGCATAGACCCATGTGTATTTCACTGTACATAAATTATATTTCAATAAAATGCATTTTTAGAAAAATAAAATGTCAAATATATGTTTAAAAAAAGTTTTTGTTGTTATTGTCAAATTTAATGTGGGCCAACCAACTGTAAAAGATTAAAGGAAAAATGTATATAATCTGGAAAATATCTGCTCTAGTTGCTTTGCAAGAGACAAGTTCTTGCTCTACTTTTTTTTTTTTTTTTTAAAGGGAAGTAGGAAATTATAGGGAACACCCTGTAGCTGTGGTTAAGAAAGAAAGAAAACCGGGAACAACAAACAATGTCAGAGAACAACTTTTGCTGATGCCAGAAGGTTAGCTGATGAATGCACATTCGTATCTTAGTTTTCATGTTATACATAGTATTTTTAAAATGCATTCCATCAATCAAGCTACTCTAATATGAATCAAGAGTGAGTTTCTGATGCCCTGGCAACTAGAGTTGTCCAGTGTATTAGTAATTAAAAAATAGTGCAAGTTTCCCTGTAAGAACTTTATTGACTTCTAGAAACTGATCTGTCAGTTCTGTTTTATAAGACTAGAAATAAGACTTGCAACTATGTTAATAACTATGTTAGTAACACTCTTATTAAACCAACTGTTATCTTTAGATTCCATTTCTAATGGAATGACTTCTTGTAGTCAAACGGACCTCCTTTTAGATTTTTAGTATCACAGCTTTTACTCTGTCCTCTGAATATGTGGACATAATTGGAATTGTGAACTGCTCTAGTTCAGTAGGAGCTCAAAGATAACCAGGGTTGGTGTAAGCCAGAGTCCAAAGGAGGAGAGTGGAGAGCAAGAGTGGAGGAGGTTTGGTGGGACATTAGAAGACCCATTTGAATATTGGATATGGCTATTGTTTGAAACATTTTGACTTCTATACATAAGGCAACCATATCCAAACATGAGAACAAAGATCCTTCCAAAGCAAGGTGGCTTTTTGATTTTATAAGATTTCAAATTTCCAACTAATTATCATCTTATATAATATGAGATAATGATACAATAATGATTGAAATTTATTTCACTAATCTAGCATCAACCTGCAACCTAATAATCCTTGGCTCTCTTGTTTTCACAGGTGTTGGGACGGTGTTTCTTGACAGTGGTGCAAGTCCATTTCCAGTTTTTGACCCAAGCATTACAAAAGGTCCAGCCAGTGGCCCACTCTTGCTTTGCCGAAGTTGTTGTACCAGAAAAGAAAAATAGCAGCAGTGGCAGTGGCTTACCTGGCATGAGCCACACACCTGAACTGGAGGAAGCTGTGCGATCCTGGAGGGGGGCTGCCGAGGTATAACTCTGGCTTTGGTGTGATTGTGCCCTATGTTCAAATAGAAGACACTCCAAAGTACCTTCATCTGGTGGTTCTCGAAAGAGCCATTTTATGTAGACATTTAAGTTTTAAACAGTTACCATTAGTTCGTTCATTCATTTGACAGTGAATGACTTTGTGCAGTGCCTACTTTGTGTCAGCCATATGCTGAGTAGTGGGTGACAGCTTCTACACACAACCTACTAGGAGAAAGGACTTATAAAAACAGGGTTAAGGAAGCCATGAAGGAAGTGTGTTGAAGTCCATAGGTGTTCCTGCCCCTGAATGGGAGTGGTGCAGGAAAGCTTCCTTCCAGGAAGAGGCAGGCTCCAAAGCCATAGTCGCACTACAGTTAAAGCTCAGTGAGTTTAAGGAATTATGTCTGCTATTTGATAGCCAAATCATTTTCTTTATAGATATGTGTCGTTTTTGTAGCTTTTTCTTCTTTATGATGTCTAACTGTTTTAACTCTGCCTACATCCTCATTGTCAGTTGCTTTGCATGTGATTTGGGCAGTTCTCTAGTACTGCTTTTTTTTTTTACTTCATGAAATTTTTCATCTTTTTAAAGATTTGCCATTTCCCACACAGTAGATCCTTTTATAAAATATAACCGTCAGCAAGAGACCTACCAAGACTGACTTCACTAGTGGGTGGAGATAGTCTGGGATGGTCTGGTATGGGGATCAGAGATGGAGAGGTGCACTGTCCATGAGTACTAAGTGTACATGTTCATTAGTGAAGATTCTCCTCTTGTGTTCACTTCTGCTTTCCCACACAACCTTGCAACTAAGGACGTCTACCATGATAGTGGGCCACAGGAACTTCCCTGAGCCACCCTGGTGTGGGATTCCAGTCTGGGATAGGGTCTTAGTTTTCTAGTGCTGCTGTAACAGAAATACCACAAGTGGATGGCTTTAACAAATTTATTTTTTCATAGTTTAGGAGGATAGATGTCTGTTATCAGGGTTCTGGCTATTGGTGAAGGCTTTCTGTTTCTGTCAACTCTGGTGGAAGATCCCTGTCTCTTTTGAGTTTCTGTTTGCTGAACTACCTTCCTGTGGCTTGGCATCTCTCTTCCCCTATCTCTGCTCTTTCCCTTACTCATTTAATTTCTTTTATATGTCAAAAGAGATTGACTTGAGATACATCCTACACTAATTTGTCTCATTAACATAACAAGGATAACCTGTTTCTTAGTAAGATTACACCCACTCCACTTACCAACATGGTTAGGTTCATTGTTAGTGACTGGGCAGTGTGGTCCAGACCTGTATTCTTATCATCTGGCTTTACAGTCCACTGTGTTACCCTAACTGTTGTGCTTTAACCTCATGATCATTCAACTCACATTCAAAAACCTTTGATACCTGGTTCACTCTTCCTTTCCACTCCACCTTCTTGACACCAGACCCAGGTGGTCCCTCAACTTCCCTGCTTTAACATTTTCCTCCACTCACTTCAGCCCCTCTAGGCCCTTCTGTCCTCCTTTCACTCCCTTTGCTTCAGCTGTTGACCCTGCCCTCACTGCACTAAGAAAATAAAATCACCTGACAGCAGCCCCCTTTCTTCACATAACCAAAATGACAGGCCCTCTCCTTTCAGGCCCATCTTTTCTTCATTGTAGCAAAGGGAGTACTCACTCCTTCTATCCAGTATTTACACCAACTTCATTCCTTCCTCACTTTCAAGGACCCAGTTCCTGTCGTGGGACCCTCTGTTTTCTGTCTCTCATCCTCACCTTGTTCTCACCAGTATACAAATTATGCTTACAAACAAAAATTCTTCCTGCCTTGCCCTGTTTCTCTGCTCTTTTTCATAGCTAACTTTTTGGCAGTCTAACTTCACTGCTGTCAAGTTGGATCCAACTCATAGCGACCCTTCCTTGGGTTTCTGAGGCAGTAGTATCACTGGGAAGTAGGTTGCCCACCCTTCCTTCCGAGGAGTGGCTGGTGGGTTTGAACCACCAGCCTTCTGGTTAGCAGTCAGATGCTAAGGCACTATGACACCAGAGCTCCCAACTTCTTAGAAGAGCTGTCTACCTTTTTTCTCACCTTCCATTCATTCTAAAAAAAATTTATTATGAAATATTTTAACCATGTAATAAATGTCTCACATATACCCCATATATCTTCTTTTTAACTTTGTCAAGTGAATCTTAACATTTTGCTGTACTTGCTTCACACTTTTATTTTTTATTTTAATTAAAATTTTTTTTTCAAATGTCATACATTTATTATCTAACAGCTTTTTTGGGTCAAAGAAGCCTGGGTGGCACAAGTCATTTGCAATTAGCTGCTAATCTAAAGGCTGCTGGTTGGAACCCATCCAGCAGCTGGAAGAAAGGCCTGGGAAATTGTTTTCATAAAGATGACAGCCAAGAAAACCCCATGAAGCAGTTCTACTCTGCAACACATCAGGTTACTATGAGTTGGGGAATGGACTCAACAGCAGCTAGCAAAAACAGTATCTATAGGTCAGGAATCCAGGCATAGGTTAGATGGGTCGTCTTCTGGTCTCATAAGCCTGTATACAGGCAGAGTGTCAGCTGGTGCTATGTTCTCATCTGGAGGTCGAGGTCCTCTTCCAGGCTTACTGGTTGTTGGTAGAATTCATTTCCTCATGGCTGGAGAATTTATGATGATGGCATCTTTTTTCAAGGCTAGCAAAAGAGAGTGTCTCTGCTGCTTCAGTGTCTTACCTCTTAGCATGCCTTTTATTTTAACAGAAAAAAGACATTACAAATGCTATTGAATCCCCTTAGTACCTCTCCACTATTTTATCTACTGTTTTATCTCTTATTCTCTAGAGATATCCTTTATTTTGAATTTGACATTTGTGTATTTGTATATTTTTACTATGTATGCATGTATCCATAAAGAATATAAAGTAATATTTTGCATGAAGTAAAGCTTTATATAAGTGGCATCATTCAGCTCACTGAAATCTGGCTTACGTTCCTATACCAGAACATGAGTTTTCTTGCCAAGATTACTGGTGCCTTCTGTATTGCCAAATCCAAAGAACCATTTTTGACTTCATTTAGCAGCTCACAGCAGCATGGGCTACTCTTTGCCTTGGAAAACTCCCAGTGGCATCTAAGAACCAGGCTTTCTTAATTACTCTTTTATCTCTGAAGCTATCCTCTTTTCATTTATTTTACTAGCTTCTCCTCAACACGCTTCTGAATATGAGTTTCTCAAGATTCTATTCTAGATGCCCTGCTGTTGTTGTTGTTGTTGTTTGCCGTCGATTCGGCCCTGACTTATAGCGACCCCTCCTTGGGTTTCCGAGGCATTATCACTACGGAAGTAGGATTGCCCAACCTTCCTTCTGAGGAGTGGCTGGTGGGTTTGAACCGTCAGCCTTCTGGTGAGCAGTCAAGTGCCTTAGGCACTATGCTACCAGAGCTCCCTGCTACTTAGGGAATATTCACCCAGTTTTCAGGCTTTAAAAATTGCCATGTTCTACGAGATGGTGCCCGGTCACCATTGTCAACCATTCAGAAAGGGATCAGAATAGGAGATCCTGGATAGAGTGAGAGAAAAACAGAACAAAACTCAAAATCGTACAAACAATCAGGCTTACTGCTCTGATAGAGACTGGGGAAACCCCTGAGACTATGACACCTAGTCACCCTTTGGGCCTGGAATTAAACTCACTCCTGTGCCTTCCAGTCAAGCAATAGACAGGCCTACAAGGTGAACATTTACCCCAAGTAAGTACACTCCTTAGAACATTCAACCATAGGAAATCAGAAGGGCAGCATTTGCACAGGGAGATAGCTCAGAGGGCAGGAGTGCAGAGCAAAGAAGGACATAGGGAAAAGGTAACCCCAGCAGGGGGAGGGGAGTAGGAATTTCTGTGTTCTGGGAAGCATCAAATGTGCATGATCATTCCACTTCTGGTACCTTTTTATTCAGCTGCTGCCTACCTTAGGTCTCCCAAGTGGTTCAGGCTTACCTGTTCCTCCTCAAGTCTTCCCACCCTGTGTCATTCATGCAAGAAACCTAGGATTTATCTTCCAGTCTTTCCAACACACCTACATCTAGTCCATAAGAAAACCCTGCAGGTCCCACCTCCAAAATATTATCCCAAATCTGTTCTGTGTCCACTGTCACTACCTTTATTCAGGCGATCATTACTTCTCCCCTGAATACAGCAGCCCACCAGCTGGGCTCCCTTTTCCCCTCTTTCTCTTGCCTTTGCCTTCCTCTTCCTCCTTCCATTTTAAATTGGATGATGTTGCTCCTCATTACCTTAAGGTAAAATATGGGCCCTTAACCACAGCCTGCCTGGTCCCAGATAATCTGGTTCTCACCTCAGTTGCCATCCTGAGGTCACTCTTCCCCTCACTCACAGGATCACAGGTCCTTGAATGTATGTCACTGTTTGTTACCTTGGATCCTTGGCACATGCTATGGATATGTCTACCTTTTGTGACCTCCCTACCCTTATACACTTTCATTGAACACCTTTTTCTCCTTAACTCTTGGCCTAAATGATGATTTCTCATTGTCTAGGGTGCTTCCTGTCACAGTGCTGTTTTTTCCTTCGGTGTATTTGCTTTTTTTTTCTTTAAATTTTATTGCTGTTGAGAATATACACATGCAATTTAGTGGCATTGATTACGTTCTTCAAGTTGTATAGCCATTCTTTCCTCTGTGGTAATTAAGGTTGTGTGTCAACTTGGCTGGGTTATAGTTTTGAATGGCTGGGCGGCTGGATAGAGCTATCTCCCATGATAAGATTGTAATTACCTCCATGGTAGAAGGTACTGTAAGCAGCTAAGTAGTTACCTGAGGGGTGTGGCTTGCTTCCACTATTTAAGGAGAGGCTTTAAGAAAGGACTGTAGCTTTTTGGCACATCTGGATCCTGCATTTGGCTGAGTCTTCATCTCAGTGGCCTGCTGTGTTGCCTGCTGATGTTGGGATTGTGCCATTTTATTGGCTTCATCAGCCTTAGCAGCCAGCAGCTCC